TTTATTTCTAAAATACATGCATTATACAATATATACATTTTGAACAAACATGATGATTCAATCAGTAGGTACATCATATATGGGTACTTGAAATGAGATAAGAAACAATGAAAAAATAATACTAGTTACAAAAGATAAAAATGAAAAAAAAAAAATACATCATAGGGCTACCTATCAATAGAAAGTGTTTCTGAACAACCAATATGTTTAGGCAACCAAAGGCTCTCTTAAATTAACTAGGCAGGAAATTACAAAAACTGTTTGTGATATTATAGGAATGAGATTTTTCGGAAGAGTTTTCTGCAATAATCTAAACTGCTTCATAGCACCAACACACCTTTCTACATGAATTCTAGCAGAGGCAATATTTTTTGTCAACTGGACCTCCTCTTTGGTCAACTGTGGTCTATTTTTGAGAAAAGGGGGTATAAAAACTGTAACACATTTTTTATTACAAATATCTTGTACATTGAATCCTTTATCAACCATGATTGCATCTTCGTATTCGAGTTTATCAAACAACCCACTTTTGACAAATATTTCACGATCACTTATTGATCCTTCAAATGCCTCAGATACAAAACAAATCCCTCCTGTAGGTATAATTCCCAAAAGAAATTTGAAAGTAGAGTGTGCCTTATAACTAGAGTACATATTTCCTTGTTCACGATAATCTTGTGGTTTCTGTGTATTCACTTCGAAACCATCAAGTATCACTCTAATATTTTTAAACTTTTTGAACACTTTGGGTTGTGGATTATTTTTAAGTCTTTCTTTGGAAGGAAAAATATCCAATTTTTTAAAGTAGTGATATAAATATTGGACCCAAGTTATTATTATTCTGGATACCCACCCTTGACTAACATTAAAACGGTAAGCTAAGTCTTCCTCCAAAAATCCACATCTAAGACGCATAAGGCATAACAACAGCTGATCTTTTGGAGATAATTGCTTTTTAGATAAAGCTGGTCCTATTTTACTATCCTTTCCAGTCCATATTCTGAGGCAATTTTTATTATCATCTAAAAAGTCCCACAAAACTTCAAACTGCTGCAGAGAAAGCCCAGTGTAAAATTTGATTTTCTTATCATCTGTAGCAATACTACTGAATCTGACTGCAGCAACCACCAAGTTGTTTTGCAGACTGGCAATTTCAGCTTGCAGTTTACGAATGAATGGGGTTTCTACCTCTAAACCAGTTTGTGTCACTTTGTCATTGTTTTGAAGAACAGGTTCATTCCGTTGAACATCTGCTTCAACCTCAACTGCTTCAATCTCAACTGCTTCAACCTCAGCTGCTTCAACAGCTTCAACCTCAGCTGCTTCAAACTCATCTGCTTCAGTTTCATCTTGTCCAACCTCATCTGCTTCAACCTTCTCTACCTCAATATTTCTTGCTGTGTCCTGAACTGATGTCTTCCCAAGTGACTTTTGGGCCCTACTCACTGGCCTACTCATATTATCTTCTCTAAGATATTTTGAACATGTAGGTTCTGAAGTACAATCATCATCCATAGATTGCTGTCTCCTTCTCTTCAGAGATAATTTCTCAGCAGTATATGTCTGAAAATATAAGCAAAACAATATAATTATAAATCAAAATAATGCATCTGGTGAATAATTACCTCAGAAACTGGATCAGGGTGTTCTACAGTAGGTCCATGACCTCCAACAAAATGAATAGAGCAAATATAGGTACTATTCGTTACATTTTTTATCCCAAAGTTTGACCTATTACAAGATGAAATCCATCTTTTGCATTTGGGCAAATCAATCCATGGTTTCGGAAAACGAATGAAAAAAACACCTTCCTCAAGGTATCGGCTATCGGTGTGGCACATTCCGAATGAACAATGTTTTACCATTATTAAAAAAGTTCAAACCAAACAAATCTCAAAATTTCAACAAACAAAAACTGACAACAATCAAAACCATAACCTTATTTGAGATTTTTCAATGTTGTCAAGTCAACAACCTATATTTACAAATAAATTTGCACTTTTTCTTGATTCTCATTCTATTCCACGAATATCAACAATTATAACGAAGAATATTCACAACTTCTAACAAATGTCGACTTTTTGAATTTCGAAAACAGCATTATTCATTATATATGATAAGTTTGTGAAGAACACTATACGAAACCATTGAAAATTGATAATAATCAAGAATAATATGGATATTTGGCATCACTGTACAACAAAAATCCACGAACTGTAAGAATAATAACACTTTTCAGGGGTCGATATAAGGAAAATCGTGAGTTGTTTGGGCATTAATTTACTTCATATTTACTGGTACATAGCTTTTTCATCGAATAGAATAGAAATTATAGCAAATATTGCAATTTCCATTACACAATTTTAAATTGACTACACACATGTTCCAATGCAATCCTTATGGAAAATAACTTCCCGCCATTTTAATGTCCCCATCATCTATCGGTGGGTGTTGGTACTAAAAAGTAGTAATAAGGTCAATTTAAATCGACTATGCAAAGAATATACAGGATGATCTCCGATGTATGCCAGTGACTCGCAGCTCCATGAAATCTGTAACAGAAAAGCTCAAAATATCCTACAAAAGGGAATGCAAGTTCTCGAAATACATTCAGTGAAAACCAGAGTTGAATTAATTACTCTGAAAAGGTCAGTTGAATACTTGGTACTATCAATATTTCATAGAAAAAGTAACATTTACTGAAAGTGGATGTTACAATATCATTCTTATTTTGACATATTTTGTTAATATCGTTAATTTGATACTCTGTTGAATTCGAAAATAGTTCAGTGGCACAAGCTAGATGTTAGACGGAAAAAGACTTATCGGACCTCTCTATATTTCAACGTGGCCGTTGGTAGCATTGAAGAGAAAGATGGAAGAGGAGAGAACTTTTCTCTTTCTCGTTCCAGGCAGAAGAGCACAATTGCCAACATTGGGAAATACTTCCAAAGAAACGACATATAAGCCCCCATACTCGTTGAAGATCGCAACATCAATATGTTTCTACCCATAATTTTTTTTCCAGTTGACAAACCATCTATGTAGGTGTGATGCTCAGAAAGATGGCACCGTTAATAAGCACTGATGTTCAGTTTCCAGTTTCTACTAAAATTCAAAAAGCATCAGTAAATTGAGCTATTTTATTGTATAAACTCTATATGTTAAGTATGAATAATATTCATTCTTAACATTTTTCAACGTGAGACATTTTTGTTTATTTTCATAGTTTTTTCCAAATGAACATACTTTACAGTATACAGGGTGTTCTAAAATGTGAGGCATTTTTTTAAGAGATGTAAAATGCCTTAAAATATACGGAATCACCAAATATCGCCTTACATGATAACGGAGATGTGATCAATTGAACATTTCATACATTTAAAAAAAAATAGTTACGATCCCCTGCCTCCTAACCACCGTCCATTGTAAAATTTTGTTTATTTAGCGCTAGTAATCGCATCCTCTTTCTCAATTGTTTTTTTAGTACATTATCAAACAATATAGCAAGTTTAACAAAATAATGAACTTGTTTCATTCTTTCAATTCATGGCGAGTGTCGCCAAAGCGCAGCAGCAGCATTTCGTTCGTATCGTCTATTTTGATGTTTGTATCTATGTTTATTGATATAAATATGGTATAGTTATATACAAGTTACAAGTGAACATTCAGAACAATTCAATAAACACATATTAAACCTCAGAAACTATCTGGGCGATAGTTTGTACGCGGTGAGACAATAAAAAATAAATAGTAACAGAAAAAAATATATATTTAGATGGAGTTCAGTACTTTACCCAACTTTACTAATTTTGCAAATATCTATTAACAAAAAAGGGAAAGAAAAGATGAGAAGTGATTTCACTTGACAGAACCTAAAAATCATCATTACATAACTATGGCATCACAATCAAATCAAAACATGAGATCAACTATTTTTCATTCAAACATTGCTAAGTCATTTATCTCTCTTCTTCATCTATTCACTACATAACTTTCAACTTCAGTCCTGAATTCATTGAGCGTTTTTTTATTTTTTATATTATTCGGCAAGGTGTTATATAATTTAGTCCCTTAGTACAGGTAACTTCTCTGTCCGATGTATTGGTTCATAATCGATGTAACATACTTTTGTGTATTCCTGGTTTCATAGACATGTGTACGACGTTGTAATCCACCTGTTGATGTGTTCTACATGCTGTTAAAAAAATTCATCACCTCTCAGAACACCCTGTACATACCTCGCCTACTAGGATTTCATTTGAAACGACAATACCATAGCCAGTGGCGAATCGACACGTGCACACATACTTTTGATTTTTATTTTTCATTTTGAGAACTCAACATTTCACCTTCGGATTAACCTACAAACACTGTCTGAACTATACCCCCATGTACAATTCCAAGATTCTTATCGAGCTTCCACTTGTCCATTTTTAACGATCCCCTCGATAATCCCCGATAATAGAGAAGTTCAGCTAGCGTTAAGAGAAAAAAAAATCTCTTCAGGATTCCAATGTTAATTATTGAAAATTTTATATTGGCAATAATAGAAATTAGACGAATTTTTTTTTATGTTCTGGTTCCCACGAGAAGGGATATCCTGTAATGTTCAGAGAACATCGTGAGAACCAAGGGAAATAAGGTAGGAATTGGTGTTCTTTTTGAATTTCTGGAGGTTAAATGCCTCGGGTAACACCTCCCTTGGCAATGTATTCCAGAGCCTCGCTGTTCGTTGGATGAACGAGTCTTTGGAAAGAGATGTTCTGCAGGTCTCCAAAGTGACCACGAAAGGGTGCGAAGCCTCAACTCGACAGGTTAATCTCGCAGGGACTGCCAAGGGAGGAAAAGAAGAACCATTCCAACCTTTTTTATAATGTGTTTGTTCAATGTGGTATTCTCCATTCCATTTCATTTCCAGTGTTGTCAACATGAAATTTAAATTTTTCACGTTTTTCTCTCTCTCTCAAAGCCAGCTGAACTTTTCCATTCATTTTCAGCCGTGACCTACATAAAAAACAAACAGTTCGACAAAGCCTTCCAAATCTTCAACAGCTTATTGGACGGCGACCTCAACAACCCATCGACGCTATTCAAAAACGCCACCGGCTTTACCAACTACTTCAATTTCCTCTACCCGGACGACCCCAACAATCTGGAAATCGCCAACATGGGCAAATACATCCAAAGAAACGACATACGAGCCGCCATACACGTCGGAAATTCGACTTTCAACGGAGAGGATCCAACAGTGGAGAAGTTTTTAGTTGGGGATATAATGCAGAGTGTCGCCCCTTGGATTTCTGAGCTGCTGAGTAATTACCGAGTGCTGATTTACAACGGGCAGCTTGACATCATAGTTGCCTACCCTCTCACCGTCAATTTCTTGCAGAATCTGCAGTTCAGCGGGGCAGACCAGTACAAAATGGCAGCTCGGTACCAATGGCGGGTTGGCAAAGATTTGGCAGGTTATGTAAAGGTGGCGGGGAATTTGACGGAGATTTTGGTGAGAGATGCGGGTCATATGGTACCGGCCGATCAGCCGCAATGGGCTTTCGATTTGATCTCGAGGTTCACAAGGAATAAGCCATTTCACACGAGAAATTGAGTTTTCTTTTCTAATTTCAAGTGGAGGAAGATTCTCATTACGTCAAAGTGAAAAAGCAACTGCCAAAGATAACAACGTCAAAAATTACCACGAACAAAGAAAGCATATTTTCCATTATCAAAAATGAGAAGGAACACAAAATCAGGTACTCAGGTGACCTATTTCAAATTTTCATGACATTCTCTTTTTGAATATACAAGGAGTTTAGTAATTTAAGGCAAGAATATTATTTAATTTTTCTCTGTGATTTTGTTGATCTTAATTTTTCCTGATATGATTTTATTGCCTTATTACTTCATCTCTAAAGGAAACTACTCAAGTAACTGAAAATAATTTTACCACTACTATTCTTATCTCTAACCCCTTAGTCATCATTTCAAATAATTTCAAATACCAAATTGATATTCCTAATTCAAGTATATTTTAACTTGTTCTTGAGTTGACTTAGTTTTGACTTTTTATCTTATATGGATTTAACTGAGATGCTTACTTTGACTTATCTGATCTTTGCCTTGAGTATAAATTGTCCTCGAATTGACTTTTTTTTTTCACTCGCGCAATAAGTGAAGGAACTATTGATAAACCAAGAGATTTTGTTTAGCTATTACCTAGATGGTATATAAAAGTTGATATGCATAGGAATTTCAGAAAGAATATCAGGTACACCTACCTATATAGTTATTGACTTATCTGATCTTTGCCTTGAGGATAAATTGTCCTCGAATTGACTTTTTTTTTCACTCAAGCAAGTGAAGGAACTATTGACAAACCAAGAGATTTTATTTAGCTAGTACCTAGATGATACATAAAAGTTTATATGCATAGGAATTTTAGAAAGAATATCAGGTACACCTAACTATATAGTTATTGAATTAGATACCTATATAATTTTTTTGTATTGTTATTGTTTTTTTCGTGACATTATGTTCAACTACCTTCAGAATACTTAATGTTGGTATTAAAGAAATCTTCAAAATGGTTTTTGTGATGTTTCATTTAAGACTCTAGTTTTAAAAAAAATCCATTTGAATGTTCTCATTTCTCCTACACTTCTGGAATTAAATTCTAAAATATGGTTGTCTTGTCTGTACTAACTTGTATACTTATATCCAATGATTGAATGAAAAACAATAAATTTTTATTTATAAATTACTTCTGTCTCGAATTAATCAATTGATTTAATAACCTTACTTTTATTTTATAAACCTTGAAACAATATAATTTATACTTCCTATGGTTTTCTTCGTTTATTTAAAACCAATACGTATACTATTGATTTATATTGAAAACATTTTGAATAAACTTCATTATTATTATTATTATTATCATTATTATTATCATTATTTGAATTTATATCATTCCAGTCACGACCCTGCGGCATCCGACGCCACGCAGAGTTGTGCTGGATAAAATCCAGTGACTACTCCCCACAGCCTGTGGGGTGAATAATCACTGGGACCAAGAACCGTGTGCCCTGAGTAAACGCAATGATCCAAGTATGACGGCCTTCTGCATTCCACCAGCCAGGATGTGTGGCTTATGTCGTGTGCCTCCTAGGGAGCCGATTATCAGGATGACCAATCCCACAGAATGTTCTGGATAGAGCCTGCGGAGTTCAAAGAGAAGATCTCGATATTTAGTCCGTTTCTCCTCCTCCTTCAAAACGATGTTCGGTTCGGTTGGCGCCGATAACTCGATCACGAACATCGCTTTGGTTTGATGGTCGAGGAGGACTACATCAGGCTTGTTCGCTTGAATTTGCCTGAGGGTGGGGAATGACAAGTTCCAATAAATTCGGCACCTCTCATTCTCCACAACGGACTCAATATCCCCCGGAGCATAGGGCAGGGCAGCACTGGGGTCTCGTATATTCCGTACGAGTGCCTAAAATAGTAGTAGAGCACTCGCAATGCCGCATTGTGTCTATGGATAAAGGCCGAGACTGCGTACACCGTGCAAGAAGACAGCAGGTGCATAATTGTCTCGGGCGCCCTGCGGCAGGCCCTGCAACTTGTGTCAGGGACCTCCATTCCCATGACACGGCTACGGTAGACGAGAGTGTTAAAAACCCCATCCTGGCATGCCATGATGAACCCCTCTGTTTCCGATTTGAGCCCGCCTGACTTGAGAAAAGCAAAAGTGGATAAGTCCCGGTCTTCAATGGTCTTGAAGTAGACCGAATACATGGGCTTATCCATGTGAAGCTGCAGGAGCTTCCTCACTTCTGCAGCTCCGATGCGGGCCTTCCTCCGAGCAGGCTCTAGCTCAATAACTGAGTCCTGAGCCTCGCGCTAGGAGTCGAAAATCAGAGACAATTCATCGGCTGCTCGACGTGCTGCCCTAAAAAGAAAAGCTCCTACCCCTGCCTCTTCATGGGTTTTAACCATTTGCAGGAGGAGATCCGAACTCCTGATGACTGCAGGCGCCATCCAGAACCATTCTGTTATGGAGATACTCCAAGCTCAAGAGTCCTCGGCCACCTTGGTCTCTAGGTATGTATAACCGTGGAACGGACGAATTCGGATGCAGACTCCTATGGAGATGCATCATCTTGCGAGTACTTACGTCAAGTTGTCGCAGCTCGACTTGATTCCACTTTATCACTCCAAATGAGTAAAGTAGGATCGGAACAGCAAGCATATTAGTAGCAGCGACTTTGTTCTTGCCCGACAGTTCTAACGACCAGATCTGTCGGAGCCGCTGCCGATACTTGCTGCGGAGAGCGTCTTTTACCCGTTGTGCCTCCTGGATACGAGTTTCCTCTACACCTAGGTAAGTGTATGTCTCTCCGGCTTCCAGGTGGTGTAGGATGCTTCCGTCCACGTGCTGCGCGTCCTTGTCGTAGTTCTTGCATCGTCCTCTCTTGAGATGAACCAGTGCACATTTGTCCATTCCGAATTCCATTCCAATTGCCTGAGTGTACTCCTGCACCACCCTAAGGGATTGGTCCATATCCCTTTCACCAGAGGCATAAAGTTTGAGGTCATCCACATAGAATAAGTGGGTGACCTTATGCCTCCGGTAACTGGGTGGGCCGCAGTTGTATCCTCTGGTTTTCTTGAGCTCAACGGATAGTGGCAGAAGTGAGATGCAGAATAGGAGAGGGCTAAGGGAGTCCCCTTGAAATACTCCTCTCCTTATAATGACTGGCTCTGTCTGGACTCTCGCATTACCTGATGTTATAGTAAAGCGGGTCTTCCAGATCAGCATCAGTTGTTCTATGCATCTCACTATAGAATCGGGTACCGAAAGGCATTTGAGCAAGTACACGAGTAACTCATGTGACGTTGTGTCAAATGCCTTTCGGTAATCGATCCAGGCCACAGAAAGATTTCGCTTGTACTGCACAGAGTCCTGTGTAATAGATCTATCTATCAACAGGTTATTCTCCTTGCAGCCAGCGACACCTCTCTTTGACCCACGCTGCTCGAAAATCCGTTGGTAAACCGGATCAACTACTAGGAGTACTCGCATGTACAAGATGCGTGTGAACAACTTGTAACATGCATTCAGGCAGGTAATTGGTCTGTAATTCTTTTGACTGGACAAATCTCCAGTCTTGGGGAGGAGCACGGTTCGCCCCTCGATAAACCACTCAGGGATTTGCTGCTCCCCATTTAGCCAGCTATTAAATTTCCTGGCTAAATGGTGGTGGGTACAGGGAAACTTTTTCCACCAGAAGTTATTGATCCCGTCGGGACCAGGAGCAGCAAAGTTCTTGGAGCCTTTGAGGGCTTCTCGAACCTCCTCAGTGGTTATCGGTTGGCGCAGTAATTCGGGCTCAGGCTCTCGGTATCTTTCGCAAAAGGTACCGAACTGCGCCAGGGCTGGAGTATCTCTGTTGAATGGATGCCTCACCTCGTAAATACCCTTCCAGAAGGTTTCCACCTGATCAGCAGTCGGCGGATTGTCAACCACACTTGGAGGCGGTTGAAATGAGCGAGAGGGCTTCTCGCGGAATTGTTTATTTTCCGCCAGCCCTCTCGCTCGCCTCTTCAGTGACTGTTTTGCAGCCAGCACTAACATCCGTATCCAATTATTATTATTATTATTATTATTATTATCATTTTAGTTCATATAATTCCAGTCACGACCCTGCGGCCTCCGACGTCTCGCAGAGTCGTGCTGGATAAAATCCAGTGACTACTATTATTATTCAAGTGAAGGGACTCGATAACAATAAATAAGGTTCCAACTAAAGGAATGCATGTGCCAAAAAAAATATTGAAAAGCTCCATACATGTTATCAGGTTATTAGACTATATAAGCATTCACTCTGAGAAGTTTAATCATGGATGAAAAGAGAGGTTAAGAAGATATTATCATATTGTGTCATTCGCTCTAATTGTTTCCTTGAAATCTGGTATGTGTTTGTTTGATATAATATGATGAGGGTGTTACATAAAAAATATGGAGTTACTAGAACTTTCAGATCCATTGGACCCCTAAAACCCCTACCCCTTCCCCTACCTTGATATAGTATGTAACCAAGAATGATAGATCATTAGAGGATGGCCTCTGCTTCCATAAGCGCAATGCTAAGCGGACCCCTCACCCATTATGACGTAGTCTTGAGTATTACTCCCTCCAGTTTCGCAACAGTGCATGTTTTGTTTGTGTTGGGACTCCGTTCCGATCCACTCCGTTCCTTGATTGTGACTAAGGACTGGCAACACCGAAACGGAAGTTACACGGCAAACGTGCAATATTGCCAAGCACTCCACTCAAGCATACGTCATAATCGACTAATTTGCGAACAGTGTTGCTTGTCAAGTGGGCCATCCTCTAATGGTCTATCGTTCTTGGTATGTAACCATCAATATCTATAATTGGCCATTACAGTCCCATCATTTATGTATGCGCTGTGCTTGCTATGGGAAACTCAATGTGTCGATTATGTTGTACTGGCCTTTTGCCGGGGAACTGAATATGATTGCTAGGTACCCAGCACTGGGACCATCAGCTGCCGGCCGCATATACAGAGTCCCGCATATGCGACCATTTACTGGGCCGCTGATGGCAGGTATGGGGTGAATGTTCGTGATTTACCTGGAATGAGTGTATTAGATCCGCTCGAATGACGTTTTTTGATATTTTTTATAATCTCTTTTGAAATCTATTGTCAGTCTTCAAATTATTTTTTATTATGACAACTTTTCATTTTAGTTTCACAAACAAATATCTTATAATACATTTTATACAAAGGAATATAGATTAATACACAGAATGAATACATTTTAAGCTAATTCACAACATTCTCCCCCTCAGTAATTGGCTCAACATAAGGTGAATATTGAGATAGAGACAATTACTCAATTTTGTTCATCCTGTATATCCAGAATGCACAGTCTTCACACAGATCGACGAAGTACGGTTCCGTTAGCTAAGGTCACATCTACAATCCTTATCTTGCCGTCTTTGGCAGGATAGACTTCAGTTACTATCGTCCTTTTGGCCATGTGTTCCTTGGTCCATTGGGGTC